ATAACTGGTCTTTCTAAAGTCAAAGTTGTTGCAATTATTGCTCGATCGAATTCAGGTGCCATTCAAATAATATTTAAGTCCAAACCAGTTTTGTTCCTGTTCCTTTTTCCTACAAACCACTTCTATAAATTATTTCAATAACAGTTTGTTGGTTCCTCTATTTAAACGAAAATTCAGTAGTATTGCTACTTGTTTGTTACCGATCACTAGAAATAATAACATGAATACTGAAGCAATTCATTAATAAGTCGCCAATGCTCCAATTTTTAAAAATGTCTTATACTATTTCAACCCTATCTCCGTGTTCCAAAAAGGCATGTTCAACTCCATTTACTCAAGGTCTTAATGCCTCTGTTGCTCCAGTGAAACATCACTGAGCCTTAGTCAAATCATCCGGCAGGTGGGTTCCTGAATGTGGTGCTGACTGCCAGGTGTAACTTCGAAGTTAGCTGTTGGTCAGACCATTACCGTCTAAATCGAGTAGGCCTCAATCATTCGAAAAAGATCACCTACGTTGATGATCTACACTCCTCTCAATTCTACAAAATGTTGTCGCTACTCATTTGTTTATTTTCAGTTTCCATCATTATTAATTTAACACTTCTGTTCTATATTTTGGCAAATTATTACAATCATTAAAACCATTAGAGAGTTTATTTTCTTAATCTACCACGTTTTGTCAAGAAATGAATGAATTTTCCTGTTTCATCTTTGCTTTCCCTTATTCTGTCTACTTATCGACAAGGGACAGTACACTCCGATTTTTCATCTCTAATACAAAAGAGACTACATTTATAGAAATCAATTCATGTGCTCAATAATGGAACATAGAAAATACATGATCTAACTGACTTATAGGGCGAAATTTGACTTGGCTTTCTCGTCAGAAAAATCTTTGCCCCCACTTTTCGTTTATGTACTGACTAAATATTTGCGTATCAGACTGAACAGCAAACGCATTTTTAATATTTCATCTGTCTCTTCGGTCTATAGCTCATAACCAAATAGATTTTCCAAAGGTTCAAAAATAAGGATTGACCTTCTGTACCTAGATGTTTGCTTTCACTTTGAAAAATAAGCTAGTAACATTTTCAAATGGTACCAATCGTAGCAGCACTTTTTCAATAGGTTTGAGAGGAGATATGTTTATCAAAAGAACTACTAGTCGAATGATGGGTTCAAATGAACTGCTGAGTTTTATATCGATAGGAAGTGTGTGGAGCATCATCACAAGGAATGGGTCTCTATAGAAACACTGGACAGGATCAAAGAAAGAAAGAACAAGAAGACAGCAATTAACAACAGTCGAACAAGAGCAGAGAAAGTCCAAGCACTAGCTGAGTACATAGAAGCAAACAAAAAAGAGAAGAAGAGCATTAGAGCTGACAAGCCAAAATACGTGGAAGAACTAGCAACGACGGCGAAAAGAGATGCAAGAGAAGGAAATATGAGACAGCTTTACGATACGACGAAGAAGCTTGCAGGGAAATACAGTAAACCAGAGAGACCAGTCAAAGACAAAGAAGGAAGACCAATCACTGAGATTCAACAACAGCGCAACAGATGGGCAGAGTACTTCGAGGAACTCCTGAATAGGCCGGCTCCAATGAATCCACCGGACATCGAAGCAGCACACACAGATCTTCCTATAAATGTCAATCCACCAACGACAGAAGAAATCAGAATGGCCGTCAGACAAATCAAGAGCGGGAAAGCAGCAGGACCTGACAATATACCAGCTGAAGCGTTGAAGTCAGACATCGAAGTAACTACAAGCATGCTTCATCTTCTATTCAAGAAGATTTGGGAGGAGGAACAAGTGCCAATGGATTGGAAAGAAGGACATCTCATCACGATTCCAAAGAAAGGAGATCTGAGCAAGTGTGAAAACTACAGAGGCATTACACTACTGTCAATACCAGGTAAAGTCTTCAACAGAGTGTTACTGAACAGGATGAAAGACGCAGTAGACGCTCAACTTCGAGATCAACAAGCTGGATTCCGTAAGGACCGGTCGTGCACAGACCAGATTACGACACTACGGATCATCGTCGAACAATCAGTTGAGTGGAACTCGTCACTGTACATCAACCGCATTGATTATTAGAAGGCACTTGACAGTGTAGATAGGAGGACGTTATGGAAGCTTCTTCGACAATACGGAGTTCCTGAGAAGATTGTCAATGTTATCCGGAACTCATACGACGGACTACAGGGCAAAGTAGTGCATGGAGGACAGCTGACAGATGCATTCCAAGTAAGGACCGGAGTCAGACAAGGCTGTCTACTCTCTCCCTTCCTGTTTCTTCTGGTGGTCGACTGGATTATGAAGACCTCGACATCTGAGGGAAAACACGGAATACAATGGACAGCTCAGAACCAATTAGACGATTTAGACTTCGCAGATGACCTAGCCCTCCTATCACATACACTCGAACAAATGCAGACAAAGACAGTCAGCATAGCAGCAGTCTCAGCATCAGTAGGCCTCAACATACACAAGGAAAAACCAAGGTCCTCAAATACAACACGGAGAACAGCAATCCAATCACTCTTGATGGAGAAACTCTGCAAAATGTAGAAACCTTCACGTACCTGAGAAACATCATCGATAAACAAGGAGGTTCAGATGCAGATGTAAAGGTGAGGATTGGCAAAGCAACAGTTGCATTCTTTCAATTGAAGAACATATGGAACTCAGAACAACTTTCAACCAATATCAAAGTCAGAATCTTCAATACGAACGTCAAGGCATTTCTACTGTACGGAACTGAAACTTGGAGAACTACAACAACCACCATCAAGAATGTACGAGTATTTATAAATAGCTGTCTACGCAAGATACTCAACATCCATTGGCCGGATACCATCAGCAACAGACTTCTGTAGGAGAGAACAAACTAGCTTCCAGCTGAAGAGGAAATTAGGAAAAGACGATGGAAATGGATAGGACATACATTGAGGAAATTATCAAACTGCATTACGAGACAAGCGCTAACTTGGAATCCTGAAGAGAAGCGGAAAAGAGGAAGGCCAAAGAACACATTACGTCGGGAAATAGAAGCAGATATGAAAAGGATGAATAAGAACTGTAAATAGCTGGAAAGGATTGCCCAGGACAGGGTTGGATGGAGAATGCTGGTGAGCGGCCTATGCTCCTTCACGAGGAGTAACAGGCGTAATTAAGTAAGTAAGTGTGTGGAGATATGCCTGACAAGCTTATTTTATAAATAGTTTTTAATGTTATTTGTATTTATTTCGTCAATTTTCCACTGCATGTACATTTATCGTTAAATGATTGTACCTGTTGTTTAAGTGTATGGAATATTTCCACAAGTGTTGCCTCTTTTGATGCATCTTTTTATTTGTTTTATATTACTTCAACCTTCAGAGAAAGCCAGCCTAATGTGTAGAATCCAAACCAAGCTTTGTGTTGAAGAATGACTGTCTGGGTAGTTTGGATACGTGCTGTTGACCAGTTGAGATCAAAACATATGATTTCTTATTGGTTTTCGCTTACCAATAAATTTCCTTGCATTTCATCAACTTAACTTTAGGAAGGATCACTCCTCACTCCATTGAATGTTTGGGTAATTCAGTAAATGGAGGGTGTCCGCTTTCTACATAAAATGCCCATGTAAGGTCATGTATTTATACCCAATTCTAAGTCAACCTTTGTCACTACCCTCACGCTACGAAGGTGCTGGATACTAAAATGAGGGGATTCTAAATAAACGATGTACATGGACTCAATAGCCTTGAGGAAACAAACAATTTCGGCCACCTATTACCATAGCACGGTATCCCCTAGCTGTCTACCATCTGCCATCTTTTTGGTTGAACGCAATTTGATGCGATACACATGCGACACACACAGATATTTGGAATTTGACAACGCCTTTACACATAGATCTTTATAATCGAAGTGTGCTAACCCAGTCGTATTAGAAGTCAGAAATAGAGAGGTCCGAAGACATATCTAATAGGCTATCGACATATCGGGCAGCGTTTATTCTAAGCTGACTAGCGGTTGTAGGAGGTGGGTATCACTGTGTGCCCGCTCGTGACCTGATGCAGATGCGTGGTGAGGCGCCCTCAGCTAGATGTGTCCATCAAAACTTACGAGGTCAGTATCAAAAGTCGAAGACCTACAAAACAATGTATTTCGGGGTCTCATCTACAGGTACACATCCAATAAGACCAAAGGCTCTGAGAGTGATCCCTTTAAAAACCACCTGCTTTTAACAGAGTGCCTAGGTATATGTTAAACGACAGTCGATAATGATTTGTGTAACGCATATTATTCTTAGTACGGAGTTGTATCGGGTGTTACAAAGTAGTCTGAGGACAATGTGAATATCGTCTTGAACCCACATAATTCACCAACTTTTAGTTAATCAAGAATGACTTCAGTGCTCTGTTTTCCTTGGACTTAAGTTACTTTACATATCATAACAAGAAGCCCTTTAAGGCGAATGTACTAAAAACCCTGAGTGGAAATTTCAGACAGCCCGATAGTTGGAATTTTTCAACTAACTTTTGAATCTTAATCGTTTAAACATCGAGCACGAAAATATCTTGTTTTATCTTTCAGCTCAGATTGTATGAATACTTGTAGGCGTATCTAAAGATGAGCTTTAAAATAACATCGTGGTTCCAAATTTAAGTATTACACGGAACGTCAGTAAACATATGTACCTATGCCATCTACAACATAAGACCCAGAGGCAACTTATGACATGACATGTGTGTCTAAAACTCCTCCAAAACTGTAATGATTCAGTGTTAACAACTTACTAGAAAGATAGAAGTTGAATAAAGCAGATAGAAACGTAGACATACCTTATATTACATATTTGTGATCATGTTTTGGAAGTCTGACTACTTAAAAGGGTTGAACAACTGCTGACTTTGATTCATAACTAAAATCGTTCTTTCAATCTATACTGTTGCAGCGGGAGAAGTTCAAGAAGTTAGCAACAAGGATATGGGGTTAGTTCACCGCGGGTTTTGATGGTTACGCTACGGTTTCACATGTAAATGGGCAATGAAAGATATCTTAAGAACTTCTTATTCTTACTTGAAAAGAAAAATTAGACCTTCCTCCATATCACTTTTTCCAAAGCCTACAATCTTCAGTGTGTTTAGGAAGTCAAAGGTAGTCGACTCTTTGGACTCTATTCGAAATCCTCCAGCGACAACGCAGTTTGCGTTAAAGTACTTTGTTTTTAGCATGTAAATATTTCCCCAATAGAAATGCTTATATACCACTCACACGTAGGGCACTCGTTCGAGAACTATTACAGGATAGTAGTACAGTATTACCATTCGAAAGAAAAAGCTTCGAGAAAATAGCTGTCTTTCTTGATAGAAAGCTGGAAAGTCAGTTTCAAATTCTTCAGAGTGAATTTTCGGTAAGTTGTGTCTAATCTTTAGATTTCAATCTACTCCGCCTGATAAATGTGAAAATAAACAACTAGTTGAGATCCTTCCATCCAGTTCGTCAGCTACTTTCTCACATTAGTTTTAATGTTTACACATAACAGTGCAGTTGGCTCACGTATTGCTATCTTTGTATTACTTTACGATGTCGGATTCTATAAATATTATTTAGAGGAATCAATACTCTGCGGCGAGATTTCACCTGGGTTTTACATAGCAGTATATTCTGAGTTGTCTGATTGTAGCTTTGAGTAAAAAATAGATTAAAGCTATAGTAGCTTTTTAAGGTTATAAACATTGAAACCAAATCGCACTTTCTGTTTCTGGATCGGTTGCATTTGCTTTATTCCCAAAGTCATTGCTTTATGGTTGACTTACTGTATTTTAAATCAGTAAAACAATTCCACACTTCAACCCTTCTGTCAAAAAGGAACTCACTGTCTGTATAAATTTATCTCGCCTAAATCAAAACAATAAACATCGGCGTTTACTCCTCTGGAATCTCACTTGGCTTCTATATTTTTCAAAACCTTCGGCCTCATCTGAAGGGTAGGCTACTAATTCGCAGTTTTCAAGTTATTCGGAGACGTAGTGCTATAAATGCCTTCCTAATGTCGTAAATAGTTTTCATTTAGATGGCGAAATTGAGCTGTGTTGGTAGATATATCAAACACGCCTCTTATCGCTTTAAAAATATTAAAATCAGATCATTTTATTTATCACAATAGATCAGTTAACTCTCGGGAGTTCGTGTAAGTAGGTTATAAATTGACTTCATAACCAGATACTCGTTAACTTAGCATTCAGACACACTACATCCATATTGTTACAACAGGGCTGGGGTTGTTTTATCACACCATACTTCCTACAACCATCTGTAAGTGACTATGTAGTTAACCACTAAAATTAGCAATTCAGTAAAAACTAGTGGCTACTGTTACTGACTTTGAAATGCCAATCAGCATTTTGCAGTGGGGTACGAGGTGGCTATGCATGTTTAATGCATTTCCCAATTACTTCGATAAAATTTTATGATCTCACTAACCCCATTATTAACCGTGTGTTTAGTCCCAAACAATTGTCTCTTGGGTTCTGCGGTCACGCTCTCAAGTCTCTATGACCACTACTAGTCTGATTTCCTTTACAGGAGTCACAAGAAAAATATTTTTCCATAGTGTAGGCTATCGGAAAGTAACAACTGCTTATACACTACTAAAATCACTCAACTTACCACTACTCATAATAATAAAAACTATCCTAAGTCAGTTTATCAAAATTCAATGTGACAACTTTCATTCTGTTTGCATGTCACTTGGAAGACACAAAACACGATCCTAAATAGCTTTCCATTAAAAATAATTACTTATATCACGTTATTATTATTACTATTATTATCTTTGCTCACTCAAAAAGGTTCTATCACATCCTCTTGATGTTTCAAATAATTCAGAAAGGACCAGTTCGTCTTCTGTTGATACAGCTAATAATTCGAATGAACTTGACCGAGAATTCTGGCTTCTTCGTCGGTTAGCAGATATTGCTCCTATAGCTGGCTTTACTGAAATACCTCAACAACAATTACAAAAAGCATGTAACTCAATTAAATCAAAACATCATGGTTTAATAGTGAGTTTTTTTTTGTATAGTGACTTTTTGATACCTAAAACACCAATTGTCAAAAAACTTAGAAAATCAACTACACGCCAGCATACATTTTGTAACCTATACACTTTTTACTCAATATTTCCCAAACAGTTGCCAAATAATAATCGGAATTTCATCTTTGGAACTAACTTTTTGATGAATCCCAATTAAAGGTACCCTGAAATACGGTTTATAGGATGGGAATCTCATGAACCAAGGATCATCAAAGCCTCCTTCAAAACAAAGAAAACGGGGATTACAATGAACGTCATCCAATGCTACGCGCCTACGAACGACTACAATGAAGATGCTAAAGATCAATTCTACGATAGGCTGCAGTCAATCATCGAGAAGTGCCCAACAAAAGACCTGACCATTCTGATGGGAGACCTAAATGCCAAGGTTGGAATGGACAACACCGGATATGAAGAGATCATGGGACGACACGGACTGGGAGAAAGGAACGAAAATGGTGAGAGATTTGCAAACCTATGTGTCTTCAATAAACTGTTTATAGGCGGCACTATATTCCCACATAAACGCATCCACAAAATCACATGGCCTTCATCGGATCACACTACGCAAAACCAAGTCGACCACCCAACATCGAAGCAGCACTCACGGACCTCCGAATCGATGTTGGCCCACCAACAATTGAAGAGATCAGCATGGCTATCAGACAAATCAAGAGTGCAAGAACAAAGGTTGGTGCAGAATAATATGAATTCATTTATTTCGTTAGGTTCTCATCAGCTGCTTACAACCTAAAATATTTGAAATTCAACGTTATTACAGATATTGACATACTTAAACATAAGAGGGTGATGAAGGATGAATATAAGTAACATGATGTAGCAAAGATGCTGTTAGAAATAATGAGGTTATAAAAATTTTGTTCCGAATATATATAGTTTGGGAGGGAAGGTTCCATAACATAGAAATAGTGATTAGAACTCATGGAATTAAAACACATTAGATGATTATGTAATGAAGTAACTGAAAATAGATTAATGGTAATAAAGAGAGATATTAATTGAAATTGGTCAATTATGAGTGATGTAATTATAAAATTTTTTTTGGAAAGGGTTGGAATGACGTAATAAATAAAAGAGGGGTTAATGTTACCAGGGCAAAGAAAGATTTATTACTGTTTCTTTTTGTATACAAAGATCTGGTTTTAAACGTTTGATTGCTATCGCTTCGGCAAATTTTAAAAGGTTGGAATTTGATTGTTTGTTGATCACCTTGAAGGACTTCAGTATATCGATTTCGTGTCCTGTGTCAACGAGATGTTTTGCGATAGCGCTGCTGAATGTTTTTGGTCCGTTTGATCTCAAACCCTTCGGAATATGTTCTTTGAATCGGACGTAGGCTCTCCTTTCTGTTCTACCAATGTAACTGCTTTGGCAGATACATGTAAATTTGTATACACAGTTGGTGGTAACATGAAAGGGATACCTGTCGACCTTTGATTGTGTCAAAGAACACGTTGTTTTGGACAGGACAATCAATTTAGCTGCTGGATATGTTTTTGTCAATGCAGTGTTTAGTCTCATATTGATTGACCCTGTGACATTATCACCTTTGAATTTGAGTTCAATAAAAACAGGTTTTAATTCCATGAGTTCTAATCACTATTTCTATGTTATGGAACCTTCCCTCCCAAACTATATATATTCGAAACAAAATTTTTATAACCTCATTACTTCTAACAGCATCTTTGCTACATCATGTTACTTATATTCATCCTTCATCACCCTCTTATGTTTAAGTATGTCAATATCTGTAATAACGTTGAATTTCAAATATTTTAGGTTGTAAGCAGCTGATGAGAACCTAACGAAATAAAATGAATTCATATTATTCTGCACCAACCTTTGTTCTTGCTCTCTTTAATATAATAAAGGGAACTATGTGTATGAAATCAAGAGTGGCAAAGCAGCAGGACCAGACAACATTCCAGCAGAGGCACTGAAAGCAGACATGGCGGTAACCGCAAGGATACTCCACATTCTCTTCAGAAAGACTTGGGATGAGGAACAGGTACCAAAAGACTAGAAAGAAGGACTTCTGGTCAAAATACCAAAGAAAGACGATCTCAGCAAGTGTGAGAACTACAGGGGAATCACTCTTCTTTCAATACCAGGAAAAGTCTTCAACAGGGTATTGTCAAACAAGATGAAGGACTCCGTAGACGCCTAACTTCGAGACCAACAGGCAGGATTGCGTAAAGATAGATTGTGTACAGATCAAATCGCAACTCTACGGATCATTGTAGAACAATCAATTGAATGGAATTCATCACTCTTCATTGACTACGAGAAAGCATTTGACAGCGTGGACAGAACAACCCTATGGAAGCTTCTTCGACACTACGGCGTGCCTCAGAAGATAGTCAATATCATACGGAATTCCTATGATGGATTAAACTGCAAATTCGTGCATGGAGGACAGTTGACAAAGTCGTTCGAAGTTAAGACCGGTGTCAAGCAAGGTTGCTTATTCTCTTTCTCCTGGTGATCGACTGGATCATAAAGATGTCAACATCTGAAGGGAAACACGGGATACAGTGGACAACTAGGATGCAGTTGGATGATCTAGACTTCTCAGATGATCTGGCTCTTCTATCGCAAACACAACAACAAATGCAAGAGAAGACAACCAGTGTAGCAGCAGCCTCAGCAGCAATGGGTCTCAACATACAGAAAGGGAAAAGCAAGATTCTCCGATACAACACAGTATGCAACAATCCAATCACAATTGACGGAGAAGATTTGGAAGACGTAAATACCTTTACGTTACCCGGGCAGCATCGTCGATGAACACAGTGGATCTGATGCAGATGTGAAGGCACAGATCGGCAAAGCAAGAGCAGCATATTTACAACTGAAGAACATCTGGAACTCAAAACAATTGGTAACCAACACCAAAGTCAGAATTTTCAATACAAATGTCAAAACAGTTCTACTGTATGGGGCTAAAACCTGGAGAACCACGAAAGCCATCATCCAGAAGATACAGGTGTTTATTAACAGTTGTCTGCACAAAATACTTCAGATCCGTTGGCCAGACACTATTAGCAACAACCTACTGTGGGAGAGAACAAATCAGATCCCAGTGGAGGAATAAATCAGGAAGGAACGCTGGAAGTGGATAGGACACACATTGAGGAAAGCACCGAACTGCGTCACAAGACAAGCCCTCACCTGGAATCCTCAAGGCCAAAGGAGAAGAGGAAGACCAAAGAACACATTACACCGGGAAATGGAGCTAGACATGAGAAAAATGAACAAGAATTGGATGGAACTAGAAAAGAAGGCCCAGGACAGAGTGGGTTGGAGAGTGCTGGTCGGCGGCCTATGCTCCATTGGGAGTAACAGGCGTAAGTAAGTGAAATACGGTTTACAATGGGACACGAACATAGCAATAAATCTCAGTTCCTTGATAATGGTATTCAGCACAATTTAGATAGCTAAATAAAACTTTATATTTAAGCGAAAAGACACGGAGTGGACTTTAGTTGGATTTCATTAGCTTATATATGGAAAATATAGAAAAGATTGCATCACAAATTGATTCGAGACTAAATAACAGATGAGATTACGTACTAATCAAGGGGTAAGGAATAAAATAATTTATGGGTCAGATAATAGTCCAATTAGCAGATATGAAAAAAAATGACGAACATAAAGGTCATAATAATAAACTGAATAATAATCAAGAAAACTTGTATAAGGTAATAATAATAACTGATCAGAGTACAGATTAAGTAAATGATTTCGTTGAAAAGAAAACTTTCTTCGCTGAATCCTCCTTTTCCTGTTCAATGACACTAAGGGTTATTTTAGTTATCCGAAAAGTATCTGCTAGATAACGGTTACACACAAAAGTTCAGTAAGGATGGGATAACAAAAAAAGGGAATGGAATGTGCTACGGTCGAGAAAAAGCTAGTCTTTTACGAATTAGCTCCAAATGTGATGAAATAGTTGGTATAATTAATTCTAGACTAAGTGCTACAGTGAAAAGGAAGTATCCAGTCGCTAAGCTAGTCTCGTTTTATCAGGTAAACTTCTCATTGAGACAAACAAAAGTGGACAAATTCTCGTCCCATGTTACCTCAATTGTATCTACCGGTTTACTTGTCCGGGCCAAACTACTTACATTAGGAGAAGAGAAAGGGGAATACTTATTCGTATCTCGGAGCACATTCCACAACAAATGAGATTATAAGACCAACCTGTTTCTAACAGTGTAATTCCATGCTATCCAGTTGATAGTGGACAGTATTAATACCCCAAGATCATTCAAAACAATCAGTACTTGAGGAACTTAGATTTTGCTATGTTTCACCAAGCTCATCACTATTAAATGGTTGAAACTGTATTCTAAAGGATACAGTTGTGTGGTTGACCAGACAATATACTAACTCAAAAGGTAATAACAGAGTTATTAACGACAAATAATATATATATATATATATATATATATATATATATATATATATATATATATATATAAGTTAAATGTTATAAACACAATAGAAATAAGGAACGTTACTTAGTTCACCGGGCTAGTGCGTGTTCTAGTTTGATCAGGTACTAAATATCCACAATTATAGACGGTTGATAATTCCGGTATATTTGATGAATTCCCCAATGATATGATCCAATGTAGGATATGGTATATTCTAATTACCGTCTATAAAGGTAGACAGTGTTTGATTTAAACTTCGGTTAACACAACCACAAGTGAATTTAGAACGGGAAGTATGTGCGCAACAATGTATTTGTTAGCAGTCACACTGTGTCATGCCATGCGTGTAACACAACGGAAGAAAGTGTTCAAGGTCATACACTTAAACAACAGGTACAATCATTTAATGATAAATGTACATGCAGTGGAAAATTGACGAAATAAATACAAATAACATTAAAAACTATTTACAAAATAAGCTTGTCAGGCATATCTCCACATGGCTCCCCCCAGAGTGTCCGGAGGTAACACTGGTTATAGTAACAAAATTATGTAAGAATATAGTATATACATGTATGCAAAAATAATGTTTACAGTAGTAACCAACAAAAAAAATTTGTGGAGATGGGTATGACATGCACGTTAGTAATATACAGTGTGTTATTGTGTAAAAAATAACATTGATGTAGCATAACATAACAACAACAAAGAGGGTGAAAATATAGTCATTTAATGTCTCGGTTTGCAAACAATGCTAATAATGTGCAAAACTGTTAATAAATCGACAAGAAAAAAATGAACCGTTTATTTTTGTGTACAATGGACAAATAATTAAATCGAGTTTACTCAATTATTATTGTGACAAAAAAAAGTTTTTATTAAAACTGAAAAAAACGAGTAATTGTGGAAAAAAAATGGTTGATTATGTACACTGTGAAAAGAAAAAAGTCATCATAGATTTTATTTGAGAAGTTGTGTGGATTTAGTAGTGTAGGACATCGATAATTGTTTGTTTTGAATATTATTTTTTTATTCGGCAAAATGTACGTAACGTTTGGGTTTTTTACATTCCTGCCTGAACGAGTTAAACAAGTAGATTTGGTACTCAGTTTTTCATCCTCCTCTACTGTCGTAGTGGTTAGTGTGAGGGGTTGATTAAATGTAGTGCTATTTTCTTTGTCTTGTTGAACTTCATAGAAGACCAGTTTTATTCTATCTACGGAGATAGTCTCCTTCTTTCCACTTTTCTTGATGATGAAGTGTTTGCTCGTTTGTTTAATTACTTGATAAGGTCCTTCATACGGTTGTTTCAATGGCTTTTTAACTGCGTCAACTCGAACGAAGACAAACTTGCATGTTTCCAGGTTTCTGTCGAGTTGTATTCGATTGCTATGTTCGCGCGGTGGTATGGCTTTAATTCGTTGCATGGTTTGCAGTAATTGGCTTGCAAAACGATTTGGCTCCGTTGGTGTTGATGGGTTTGGGTCCACTAGTTGACCTGGTAATGTAAGGGTTGTACCGTAAACTAGCTCGGCGGCTGTACAACCTATACCTTCCTTTATAGTTGAACGGATGCCCAGGAGTACGAGTGGTAATACGTCACTCCATTTTGATGTATCATCCTGTGCCATCAGCGAGCTTTTTAATTGTCGGTGAAACCTTCCGACCAAACCATTAGCTGCTGGGTGGTAGGTTGTCGTTTTGATGTAGTTCACGCCCAGAAGTTTTGCAAACTACGGAGTACCTTCCATCGTCACTACAGACCGTGGTCCCCAGTTTCAGTCTTGTGTTGTGTGTCTCATTCCTTAGAAATGCAAGTTATTTCTTATCCAACCACTTGCATTTATTATTTGACCGATTTCCAGCGGACCCAATATACCAGTTTTTTCTGTCGTTTTTATTTTCTTTGCCAATAACTTTAGGCTTATGTCGATCCGGACGATTATGATGTACTTCGTTTTTGGATTCGTGGATTTCATCCAAATTTTAGTGCTACTCCAGCTTGTTCTACTATTTTCAATTTAACTGATTCCATATCGACCCACTATGAACGTAAACAAGGCACATTTAAAAAATTATTCATACGAATTTCTCAACTGTTTAATATATTGGAACGGTCAATAAAACGTAGTTATTCTCCAAATATGCATGGTTATGAATCGGTGGATTCATTCACTGCTAAATCGGATGGATTTTATTTCAGTCGAGTATTAATGTGTGTTCGAAGAAAAAATAGTCATAATTTAGATTTGAAACTGTTCGAAGTAAGATGTGAAGTATCTTTTTTTCAGTCTATTGTGTCATTCAGTTGAATGTTATAAGCGTTTACATTGATATTTATGAATCCCTTTGTTATAACGTAAATTATCCTGATGAAGTCACTTAAATCCAATCGTTCAAACACGAAGCCGATATCACAACTAAGATAGTTTATTGAAATAAATTACAAACTAGTCAATAAGTGAGATGCAGTTTACAGTATAAAATAGTCTCTCTTATTTAATATAACTCAATATATCTGCATTCGATCATTGACAGGTCACTTTTAACGGATGTATCATTTTTAAGATAAAAATTTTGAAAGAACATCAAGACCCCCCCTATCCCTTGGTTAGTATTTAATTAATATTTGTTTCAAAGAAGACCGTAGATAAGTCTCACTTTAGTATAATTTGTTCATATGAAGATGGACTTTTGGTTTGACCAACCCTTATATTATCTCAACGTCATGTAAATGGTTAACATTGAAAAGGTAACTAGTCTCATTTAGGGATACCATTAAAGATAAGGAGCACTGAACATTTGTTTCGTCCTAGTTTGAAACTTTTCAACAGTATTCAGCCACAATCCTGTCAAAGATCAAACTCAGTACCTTCAAGACCCCCAGTAAACGCTTAACCGTGAATGTAAAGCTTTAATTATCGTCCTGGGTAACATCACTATTGTAATAACTATGTAGTGAGGGATGTTAGGACAATGGTCAAAACACAATTGTCATCTATAACTTTGGAGAGATTCAGTTTACTAGAACTCATGTGACATATATATTGATGTTATGCATTTTGAATAATCTAACCATACATTTGTTTGTTAAAAAAGAGAGATTTCAAACTGAAAAAATTGGGAGATAAAAAAAAATACTAAGATAACAATAAACAACAACATGAACTGCACTACTCTTGATAATAATAAATCAATATTAATAGGGTAGATCCAAAGGGAGAAAAAGCTATTTTCGAACATATAAAAGAGATTTTAATCTTAACGTGACTAAGGCTTCAGCACATGCCCCTGGGGAACTTATATAAGACTACCGAAAGGTTGATTTGAAATCAACCCCACAAACTGTTTCAACTAAATGTTCCTCATTGGAATAAGGGGGAAAATGAAGACAGTTAACCGCAAACGAGGTCATCTGAACGAATTGATATAACATTTATGGAAAAGTTCACTTCTACATAAAGTAAACCCCGATGATTTTGTTCAGAATGACAATGGAAGCTCCTACTTAATTAATTCGTCTAGCTCAGAGAACACAGCACTTCTAGATGAACTATATTTAGCGTGTTTTTACAGTAACTTTGTGTATTTTCCTGTATTTAAGGTATTATTGTGTGTAAAAATAAACATATAAATGATCGTATTTTAGTCTAAAGGCGATATGGTTTTCGACTTGTTTATGAAAATGTTTTGGAAGGCCAATAAATCTTCATTTTCAATAATTTCATTGTCAAGCTCTATATTTAGGAGTCCGTAATTATAGTGTTATTTTACAAAGACCGAAATACGGTATTGTAGCGAACTAAACAATGTTATATGTCACATATGCCGTTTTCAGAGGGCTTTATGTTTTCGTGAACATTCACCGCCATGGTTGGGAAAAGGGATCACAAAATCTACTAATAGCTCTATACTTAGCAGATAGTGAATATCATATTAAAATAGATTACGTTTTCTCAGTTTTGTATCAAGTTCCAGACAAATCCACCTAAATTAGCTAAATTGTGACTTCTATATAGATGAAGCCATCTGAATCAACTCCAGAAAACCTAACTTATGTGTCTAAAAGAGGTATGCTCAGCCTCTGTGTTTACCTTGGTCCGCGACTGGATCACCATAAACCTAAACTAGATATTGTAAACCGTTTATCCTCCTTTCCCCCACCAATTCGTTTTGTCTTTTTCGCCGTTTTTAATATTCAACATTGTTTAGTTAACTAGCATGCCTTATTTTGGCCTTTGTAAAATAGCACATTAATTATGGACTTATGACTGTAGAGCCTGATGACGAAGCTGTTAGAGACAGTTGTTCGCTCAAATATTCCTTATTTTTGAATATTCTGTTAGGACTTTTAAACTACTGAAATCTTCATTTGTGCCAGTCTTTTTGTTTTCACTTCGCGTCGTGGAAATTCTAGTAGTAGTTCTCGTCTAAAAGTATATGCAGTAGGATCGAGAAATTGCAGTAGTTCATGATTGTCAAGTATAAGCAGTAAGACACCGGATACATCAGAGTTGATAGTGACACGCGCCCAGACATAGCACCTCCAACGAGAATACAACAGCTTTCAACAACTTTCTTTACAGTTGTATTAATAAACTTGATTCATCATCCCATTCATAAAGTCAGTTTTCTTTTCAAAAAACTTTTTTTGTTTTTTTCCTTTCCCCCTCCTCCCTTAGAATGTACCTGTTACAGGAATTGTACGTAATTCAACTTTTGCTGATAATCTCTTATATCTTTTGCCGAATTTACGTACAATTCCACTGAGTAAAAGTTCACGTTTAGTTATTTTATTAAGTACAACTACAGCTGTATGTTGTTTAGGTGTAATTAGTCCTATCGCTTGGTTATTTAATTCAACTAATTATGATTTAGTATTAGCTTGGTCTATGGCTGCAACTTCTTGTGCCATTACTACACTATCCATTGTATGGGTTCGTTATTGGCGTGCACAAACCAATTTAGCCAATAACTTAAAGTATATGGTAAGTTGTTATTTTAAATGTTTGCATAAAAATAAAATTTTAATTATATTAATTGTTAGTTTTGTAATGTTAGCGAGTTGATACTGTGATAATCACTCTTCCTGTATACAAGTCCGGTTACTCGAGAGAGAAAAAAGGACTAAGAAAGTCTATTAGGTTAAACGAATTCATGTCTATGTGCGCTCATTTATGTGTTTATGTGATAAATCTTCTAACTGAACGCTTGAATTAGTTTCTTAAGCTCTTCTATAACGCCCAGGCTAAATCTACTCGACAACATTAACATGGGAGAAAATGTGCGAAATGTGGAAAGGCTAGTTTATGTATAGAAAATCGAGAGTATTTATAGTATTTTAGATGGCCTTGGGCTTGTGGAAGATTCTGGAACCCTACTAAACATAGTACCAGGATAGGTAATCATCCAGTCAGAAATGCGACATGTGACTCTTCACTTTCTAGATGTTTCTGAGAAACTTCGATTCAATGGTGATTGAATAAAAATGTTTGCTAACGTTTTCCGGGCCCCTTTGGGTCTTTCTTAGAGGAATATTCTAGATCTTTCCAACAGTATACTTGTCTATCCTTCAAGAAATCAAGCTTACCAGTGGTTAATATTTTATTCCTTGCAAAATAAAGTCATTCCTCGACCAATCACGTGCTCTCGTCATCAGATGATTTTTTTAATTAACCCTCTATCTCAGTTTGTTGACCATCGAATGTTTAAAATTTAAGGTAAAATCATACTATACTGACGACCTTGAGCCATTTGTTAGTTAATCAGAAACGTAGTGTTTACTCAAAAATTGCAATGGAAATAGTTGATAAAATTACAATCAGTAAACAGTTTTGGAATGAATAATTAACCGTTACATGTTGAATTTATTAGTATGATTAAAGAAAAGAGGTTAGGGTTAGAAATTAGAAATTGAAGCTAAAATCTTAATCACAACTTTGGATTAGGAGTTGGTGTCAAAATTTTAATTTGGGGATTAAAGTTTTGGGGATCAGGGTTATAGATTATAGTTAACGTGAACGAATACGTCTGACCCTTGAATATACCTTGAATCATGAGTAATTAGCGTTTCGGAAATAATCGGCTTCTGGAACAGTTTCCTTTTTTATTTAGCTTACACACCATATCACATTGAGACTCTAAAATGGATATTTTTCAAGCAGTTTTAGGCATATTAAGAACTTCATATGGTCATTTTAATGGGATACAATCTACCTTTCACTCCGTTTTGAATTTCGCGCAAACATTTGAAAGACGCTATCAAACTAGTATAGTATCGTCTTACCAAATTTAGAATAAAACTGGAGAGCTTCCTTCTTATTTGAGACTCGTTATTTGGATGTACTTATCACATCCCAGTGTTGTCGCCTTATACACCTACAATGCGTTAATCGCTAATCTACTGAATTCAGATAACTATTAACTTGTTCAATCGGTACAACCCCTGCAAGGGTTTGTATTATCCTATCGTTAATATTCAAGAGTGAAATTTGACTAATGTTTTTTGGCGTATGTCTACCCTAAGCAAATGCCTTGATTTATGGCTTATTTGTTACAAATTTTCAGGATAGACACGTTTAATGGCTGTCCAAACTCATTAACCTACTAGTTAGTGTGTACTTATTTTGGACGGTAGGTACCAGGTTCGAGTCTCACTGTAAAAATCAACACTAGAAGGCAAACATACAACTGCGAACTCAAAATAGTACGAAACTTGCGTCATTGGCTCTACTGCTAGCTACAATCTGTCTATTCTAAATACGTTGTGAGCAAACAGCCATATCAATTCGATTCACTCAGAATGGATATATGCCAACAGATATGGATCACACTCAATACAAAAACATTGTTTAAAGTATCCATAAAATCAAAGTCCATCGTTTTCTACTCTTATGTCAAAAAATTTCCCAGGAACTTCACTTCATTTAATGACCAAGATAAATCAGTAACGTCAAAAAAACTACCGTCGATGAGTTTAAGAATATGGGTTTTTTATTAATTCATTGGTTTCACAGTCTTACAAGAATATTGTAAATTCGCATTTTCATCCTTGCCTCCCTATCGTTGCTTTCACTCGTACTGCTCTAAAGATACATAGTATATAATGAAATGGTTTACTCAACAAAATTTACATATATAAAACTGTTATAGCTTTCTATGATATTTTACTTAACTCATCAAAATTACCAGGAAAACAATGGTTAATTGACCAAGTTCATTGAGCTTCGGGCTTAAAATAAAGATCTTTTTTAATTACTTTCGGTCTCTTTATTGATATATCGCGAAGGTCACATAAAAGAGTATGGGATCGATAAATCAAACTTATATATTCCTGCTAACCAAATTTTTGTTATCTTCCTGTACATTCACTACCAAAATTAATCTTCTGAAAACATCATTTCATCTCAGCCTGAATAACTCGGTGGTAACCGCTCAGACTGCGGAACTCACTACTGACCCGTGTCCAAATTCAACAGGAAACACCAGTCCCCTCAAGACTACTGACGAGTGTCGGCTAGCACGAAACCTAACGCTTCTTTCTGTTAACTGTTTATAGCCATCTAAAGTGTAATTTTAATATCCTCTGGTAATGTACCAGTAGAAATTATGAGTAGCTTTTAAATGATATTAAGAAATTATTACTTTGTGTCAATTATCCTATGATTATTATTATTAACACTATTATTATTATGTGTAGCAATATCTTTATTGTCAAAGTTCTGGACTACAATCAATCAATACTTTGTTGAAATTGGCGCATGAACAAGAATTTAAAGCAGCTTTACTTACATATGCTTTATTGTTAAGACCTACTGACAGTGAGTAGTAAACAAAATATTCTGGTGTTTTTTTTTCATTTTTGTATCAGTTTTACCATTGGATGTCTTGTACTAATACAATGGATGATTTCCATTGATTGGTAAACATTTTGATCGGCATTCGAGGTAACAGACAGCATAATCATCTGATTAAACTTTATATATAAACTCGTAGTTTGCTTTCATTAGGGGTCCGTAATTAATTAACGGCAACTTGGGAAAGATACAATATATAACAGTTTGTGCATCACGAGAAAGCTTACAAGCTGGATAATACTAAAATACAATAATTTAAATATTTCTATTAATTATAAGACAGAAATATAAACAATAACTTCAGCTAGGAGGACAGTTATAAAAGTTCGACTATTTCAATACTTGACCTGTTATAACACTCACGATTTCTCACTAAACAAATGCAATCTATAAATTAAAGCAATCTCTATAAATTCCTTTAAACTAAATTATAATAGTCAGTCTACTAGTGGCTTACTTCAAGATGTTAAAACGGAATTAAAGTTGGTCAAACAAAGACACCTCACCAATCCATGAAGTCGTTGACTGTTGGTCTAAACCATGTTCGTATATGCGCACTACCTGGATGAGGTCCGTGTCATAAACGCGATCAGTGATTAGAGACATTAGATGACATGATTGAGAATCGTTCGTAGTTGCTCAGGTGTATTCACCCTTTATATTCTTCTCGATCTTGAAGTTCAGTATTTATTAAGGCATACATTTCCACTTTGTCTTTTCAGTAGTAGGAAATCTCTAACCGACGACAAGTAATTCTGTTCAGTTTCAAAATAGTTTTCAAGACTATTCGAAAAAATGCTTTTAATAAGATGAAAAGCACACTGGAGAACTGCCAGTGATCCATGTTTTATCGATTCAATTATTGGATTGAATAACTTGATTATTAACTAATGTCTTCGGACATTCGCTGACTTAACTGACTACAAAAGTCATTCTACTTGTAACCGTTTAATGTTCAGAGAAAATTAACTGATAACTCTATGTGGAGTGATAGCTTTGTAGTTAAGTCTGAAGTTCGAACCCCTCTCTACCTCCAATTTTGATCAAATGTGTAGTAACATTAGTTCTTCTCACACTTAAGGCGTAACTCATACCTGAGTGTTTGGCGAGTCAATTTAAATTTCAGTAATTGTGCGTGAAATGGTAAAGTTTCCAAATGTTAAGTGGTGTGTTTTTGGTGGTATTGTGTTCTTTGAGCTCCTAATTCATGATGTAACGCTGCCCCTCATATATATTTCATTTCCTTCCGACTACAGTTTCTTATTGTGCAATACATTATTAGTGATCTTTATATTTTTGATCATATGATTGATTTTCCTCTCACTACCCTTAGTATGAAGTGTGGAAACTAAACTCCATATGTACACTTTGAACCAGATCATGAATTATTTATACTGTCTTTTTTCGTATTTTGTTTTATATATACACATTGTTTAAAGTTTTATTATTTACCTCTCTCAAGGCAATACTGCATTAACTCCTGTACAGTTGGGTTTTCGCGCTGAATCTTGGATTGCTAAACACTTATCACCTCAATCTCATATTTCATTACCATCTTCAATTGGTGCACCTATCACAGGTGATTCTCCTGATTCACAATTTAACGGTGGCTCTGGTCCATTATTCGACTTATCATTTGATGCAAATAGATCTTTACAAATATTACGACGTTTAGATCTGGTTCGTGGATCGAACTCATTACCAAATGCAGTTAGTCCTGATACAGCATCTGTAGATATTCCAAATGATGGTTTATCTAATTCAATTGGATTAGATCGTCTCTGGGTAACGGATCCATTGTTTAAAGAATCAGATTTAAATTTGTCAAAAGCAAATTAATGTTAATTTTCATAGGATCTTAATTGAATTTATGGGTATTTTTGTTATTAGGACATATTGACTAATCTCTTCTCTAGAACATAGATATGTACTTGTCAAATGTCTTTTTTTTTCTTTACAATAGCATACAACATTTAACGAACAATGAAAATATCTTATTTAGTTATAGTATAGGAACATTTCGGTTTTGTATTGTAAACTATTTTTAATGCAAACTATAATGAATTACATATTGCTCTCCGTTATTTTATAGAAAAAAAAACAAAATATTTTACTCTCTAATCATCGCCATTCATCATTTGTTCTTTAATGAATTGTCCTTAATGTTATATGAAGCTAATGAACCACAAAATTTGTTGTATATTACTTCTTTTCTGCAAACAAAATTTAGTGTCAACCATTCACTCTTTAAATTCGTGCTTACATGTTAATTTCAAAATGTTTATTCAGTGAAATGTTGCCCTCTTTGTTAGTTTATGATTTCAGAAAATATAGTGTATAGAAATATTACGAGTTACTAGTATTATTAAAATACCCAAACTGACTCGATGTGACAACATCCTAGAAGTTGTTGATCGTGCTATTTACAAGAGGCATTCACTCGTCGTCTTCGTCATCATCATCATCGTGATGGTCTGGTCAGAGAGGTGGAGGTGTGTTGTTGGATTGATCTCGTGAATCAGTGAATTGAGTGGTGTGTGACAATGCAGTGAAACACTCATGCCTCGATTGATGGTCGCGATGCACATTGGGTGATGTGTTATGCTGTGTTGTGATGTAATGTGGTGTGATGCGACGTGGTTTGGTGTTGTGTTGCATTGTGTTATGTGATGTAGTGTAGTGTTGTGTTGTGTGGTGTTTGGTTTGTTGTTTGATTGGATGGTTTGTTGGTTGGTTGTTGACGTGTTGAATGGATGCGAGTGTGTGTGTGTTTGATTTGTCCGTGTGAATGAATTGTTTCAGTGTGGTGAGTATTCGTGGGAGCATGGAAGTGGGTCGGTGAGACATGTGGAATTGGGAGAGTTGAGTAGATGGAGACCGAATAATCATGTCGATGGGGGTTTTGACGAGCATATGGTTGAGTATACGCTGTCTACACGCAGTTGTTTGTATGTTTCAGTGGTGAGTTCGTCTGTGGAGTTGTGGCAACAGAACGAGTGCCAGACTGACTGTCATGTGCACATGGATGCACTGTGAGTGGTGGGAGATTGTCGAGTGTGACTCAATCTGTCCGCGTGACAGTTTATTTATTGTTTGCATAGTTATTTTATTATCATTCTTAACATACTAGTTGTGCATTTCATTTTTCTTCCGTGTCTGTTCTCGTTTATTCCTTATTAGTGTAATGCCTGTTTTATCCATCAGTGTGACGATAACATATTTACATACTTTATATACAAATTGTGTTGTTTTTTAGCTTCTTTATGGAAAATTTTCTTGGTGAATTTTTGTAATCATTAAAGTATTGCAGTAAATTACCTAGACAATTATTTATATACCTGTAGGCGGAATTTTTAAATGGTGTGGAAGTGGAAAATTACGAAGGGCACAAAAATAGAATTTTAAAAGTCGAAAATCTATGTAAAGGGTTGTGTAATACTGAAAAATTTGGCTAGGTTTTTATCGCTCTGAAGAGAAGCAAGAAATATATAAATATAATTGAGGTTGTTGAAAAGCATGTGGTGCTCACATACTCCTCAACCTGAAATTATCATCGCAAGTAAGATTGATAACCACATTATTGTGGGTGAATAAACTTGATTGAAATCATCTTGCAGTACAAGCATAAGCAAAGCGTTATAACCGTTATGGGGGGGGATTGTTGAGTTTCACATTTTACATCACAGATTGATTAAGCTATACAACCACTGAAAAACCGAAAGCACTATAAGTCTGCTTCGTTATAACATGTGCTTTTAAAACAGAGTTTATCACAGGTTCTGTCGGTGTCGAACCCAGGATATGAATGTCTCACGGTGACCGTCCAACCACTGAGCGAGCAACAGATGATGTGCCTGTTTAACTTGGACCAACCCACCCTCCATTGAATAAAAGTACCTCACCTCGACATGGCCGAACTCCACCAGACAGGAATGCTCATTCGAACTCCGAGAGCTTCATCTAGAAGAAGAATGTCTTTTCTTTGACGTTATCCTACGTTAATCCTGTCTACTCAACTTGCCTTCTTATTCGATAATTCTTTGAGTGTTAAAATATGCTACTTAATAATATTCAGTAGTTAATTCTCTTAACATTTTGGAAATGTGGAGAATCGTGTTCAGTTGCTGTGCCTCACTTCTAAGCATTTGCACAAATTTGTAACACTTTGTATATTTATTGAATATAATTGTAACCTGGTAATACTTGCGGCAGTTGCTTTCTTATCTCAGAAGTCTGGTCAGCTCTAATGGTCTGGTGTCTGACGAAATTTCTTCACGGATTCAAAAAGCTCGTTTGGCTTTCGCCAACTTACGTCATTTATGGCACAGGCGAGATATCCGTCTGTCAATTAAGGGATGAGTATATTGCTCAGCAGTTCGTTCTGTTCTACTTTATGGCTGCGAAATATGGCCATTAAGAGTAGAAGATACTCTTAAGTTACTGGTATCTAGTCACAGATGTCTTAGAAATATTGCTCACATCTGCTGGGATCACCGGGTAGGCAATAGTGAGGTTAGACGCAGGGTATTAGGGAATGATGGTAAATCAGTTGATGAGGTTATGAATCTTCATCGACTGAGATGGTTGGGCCGCGTGTTGTGTATGCCTGAACACCGATGACCACAACGCGCAATGCTGACTAGTGTTGATGATGGTTGGAATAAAGTTAAGGGCGGCCAAACCAAAACGTGGCATCAGTGCTTGAAGTCACTAACTTCTGGTCTGAGCCATGTTGGTAGTTGCAGACTGCTTGGCTAGGGTCCGTGTGACTGTCGTAACCAATGGTTGGACACTCTTGATGACATGGCTCAGAATCGATCTCAATGGCGTCGGTGTATACACACTTTGTCTCCCCTTAAACCGTGAGATTAAAATTACGTTTTATCTTTCTTTCTACGAATTAATTCTTTTTTCCTGTATTATTGTTGGGATGGTCCAAAAAAATTCTCGCAAAAGACACGCAAGGATCATTTCATCCAATCAGAGTTCACTTGGACTTTAGCCAGAAAACATCAAGGATGTGAAACGTCACATGTAGAGGTTCTGATTGGCTGATTGTTATACCGCTACTATGTTTAGTAGCATTCCAGAATCTTCGAGTAACCCAAGGACATTTAGAATATTATAAAGACCCTCTGTTTTCTGTATTAAAATGAACCTTGGAGTAAAGTACTTTTCGCATACTTTGCGCCTTCTCTCTCGTGTTCAGGTCGCTGTAAAGTTCTGGCTTGGGGGTTTCAAGAATAGCTTAGGAATCGAGTATAGCGTTCAAAATTGCAAGACTTATCAATTATATCCCTATACACAATCTTTCTTTTATATATTACTATTATTTAAGTAATTACTTCTGTGAATTCGGTGTTCATCTTGCTGTGCTAATGAACTATGGCAACTTGGACCGATGCATATATCTGTCTTGTCATACGTTGTAACTGACCGACCATTTTTATGCACTCAATGAAAATTTATTCAAATATAACAGTCACTGTATTTTGTGCGCTTAGCCTTCGTTTCGATTGCTGACTACACCCATATGTTGGTTGTTATTTACACTGTCGTATGTTGAAAACAGTCTTTGTGTAATTATTCCACGAAGAATTTTTCATTTTATATAAATTGCTAAGTTAAATGACTCATATGCCTCACAAGTTGGGGTTTGTAACTATTGTCTTATGACCACTGGCCAATATCGCATGATGAACCACCCAATCAGAATCCCGAATTTTTTGACTTAGTATCTCTGAGTTGACTAATAACAAGTCCAACCAGTATTAGTAACCTTTAATCAATTGCCGAATCCCTCCTGGTCCACGATTTTCTGTCCCCCTCTCTCTCTCTCTCTGACCTGTTGAGTCCATAAGTCAGAAACCAATCTCGACCATATTTGATTTTCAGAGAGATGTCATTTACATACAAGCAAACCAGACCATATCACACCATGGGACGAAAAAAGAACAATTATATATCATCAAGCTAAAGTGGGTGTGATAATAAGTTGGCAACATATTAAGATTAGTAAACCATATAACAGTATTTAATGGGTTAATCTAAAGCTAATTACAAAAGAAATATATGTATCGTGATCTGGTGTCTTAATAATTGTCCAACAAAATTGTAATTGAAAATACTTCGGAAAAACCAGTTCCGACTTTTACAATATTCGTTCCTTTATAACAACAACTGTTTTGGATATATTTTTGCAAAAATAGTACTGCTCTCTAGATGAAATCATTTTGATGAACTCTGGTTACTGTGATTTATCACCTTTTAATTCGATTACAGTTTCAATAATCTTTTATCCTATGTGTTTAGTAAAGTTGGATGTTAGCCAGAAATGGAATCTGGGATGTATATCTCATTCAATTTTTCACACTGGTTTTGAAAAAAAGTGGAAGGAAATATTGTACCAATCTGATCAGTATGTATATATGCAAAGAAAGACTGGTTGATTTAAAACCCTTACTAAAAACTTCATACCCACTAAATAAGTTAGTGGGGAGCTAAAATCAACAGATTTACGAATAACGAGTTGTGGTTTGGGTGAAAGGCATTGGATTCGAGCTTTAGTGTGAATATCAACAATGAGATGTGGAAGGTACATTTAGCTGACGAAATCCCAACAGGATGTAGTGTGCATTCTGAACTAAACTACTAACCACATAGTAAGTATACTAAATATCAAAGTAATATTTTGCAATCTTATTAGACTGAATCATCTGAATACCTCTATTACAAATATCTGTATAGACATACATGCAGAATTTCGTTGTTCTTTTTCAAATGCAAAAATTCCTAAACACAAAACAATATATCTTCATTTCTAATCCAACATGTTTGTGTACAATCAAAATTATCTCCTCAATTATAAAAGTAACCAATACATTCAATTTTAATGGAATGTGTTTTGTTTGGCTGGTTTCCCCCCCCCTCTCCCCAACATAAAAACCATTTTATTCTGTGGCTAGAATACAAATGAAAACAACATCATCATCCCTTTGAATTAGAAATAAAATAGACATATTCGATGTCATATATATATAAATATATATTGACCTAGAATGAACCAATCAGAAAAGTGATTTTTATTAATAGTGGGTGAGAAATAGCGAATAGGTTATTCGTGTTAATTTATATTTTCAATAAATGTCAGGTGTAAACTTAATAGAATGAACCACCCCCAAGTATTATTCATTAATAGCCATGTTAAAAGATGAGAATGTAAAATGACCACATAATTAATTTATCGAATGTATTCAAGGTCAAAGAAAATACTTCAGCGATTTGAAAAGCATAATTCTAAATATATATCTTTAAATATTCTATGTTACATAAGATGAATACCGCTGGATCGTTAAATCTAACAATTCCAAATCAAAATGATATTCAGGGAAATTTATTGTATAGAAGGGGATTACTTGATTATGTATTAAATTATATGGTGAATAATAATAATAATAATAATAATAATCGAATGAATATTTTGTGCTCAAACTCATTTGTTATGGATTCTTTGTTAAATTTCAATTCACAATTCAATCATAATACTGTATTACAGAATAGTCAATTTTATTCAAATTTAATCTCTTATTTATTACCTATGGATTTAAATTTTAATATATTACAACAATGTCAAAATCCTCAGATACGAAATTGGATTAATGATTGGTTAGTTGATAATAGCCATATCAATAATAATAATAATAATAATAATAATAATAATAATAATAATAATAATAATAATAATAATAGTAATAATAATATTTCGGATCCAACATTGATATACCTTAGAGTAGCAACTCAATGTATTCTACGTTACTTATTAACAACAAATCATTATCAACAAACTTTATATTTTAATTCTTTTCTTCATTCTAATTATTCATCCATATTGACTACATATAATACAACTAATCAGAATAATATATTATTTCAATCCAATAAAAATTCATTAGAATCTAATTATATAATAAATGAAAATTCATCTATTACACGTATAAAACGTTATAAATGTACATATCCAAAT